TGCCTGCAGCAACGCAACAGCCTAAAGACCATGGGATTGCAATGCGTGAGGCAGTGAGTGGGTTGTCCCTACAGGCCTATCCGCAATCGTCGCATTGTGGATCCTCAATCTCAGTTTTGTCAGATACACAATTTAGGGCTTGGAGTGCACCTTATAGGAGCGCCTCTGGTGCTGCTGCCCTTGAACGGAAATGTCTGATTTTTCCTAAAGCACTTTTCCGCAGCTTTTTGCCGCTGCAGCACATGCTGCCGATGTTCACCGCTGCTGTTCCGGCTGCTAATGGTACTGCCGCTGTATGTGGGGTCCCTGCAGATGGCATCTTGCGCTGGGTTGAAGGAGCAGTATGATAGATGCTTTAATCATTGGTACCGACACCACTTTTTGCAGGTTTGTTTTGTTCATGATTTTGAATGCATTTCTGTTTAATCGTGTTTTGGTTTTGATCACTCTTCTGTCCACCTATCCCTTCATTTCTGTTCTTTTGCGTGCTGGTTGTGTCGGATTTTGTTTGTCCATTTGGTGCAATTATTTCTTGTGTTTGTTTCCACCAGTGCGTTATTGCTCCTATTCTGCACACTGACCGTCTCACCTTTTCGTCTGCTCGTCGCATCACGTGTCTGTTTGTTTCTCGTGTTGTGTCGTTTTTTCATCACTTACCCAGACTCCTTGTTTTCGAGTACTTCTGCTCACAGTGTTTTTCTTGCGCTTTTTGCCGTTGACGGGTTTTCCGCTTTTCTTGTTCCTCGTTAAAGCCCTTCTATTTTCTCCGTGTCTCTCGTGTAACTCGCGCCTGCTACCATCAATATCTACTTAAAGATTTCTCCCTTGTCTGCCTTCTCAGAGTTTGCCAGTTCGTGTCCATTGTTCACATTCCTGTAGGTTGTCCTAACAAAATAACTGCTAAACTGATTTCAAGTGCATTTTGTAGTACTTAACTGTGCGGGTTGCATTCATCGATTGTCTAGCTCATTGCTAAATTCTTTACGTTCTGCTGTTGTTTCTCTACAGGGAGACATGTCTCGTAATTGCTTTCATTTCTTTGCGGACTATAGAGTCTGCATATCAGAAGAACTGAAGCAAAAGGGGCTTGAGTGATAAAATTGGCCTGGTCCCTTTTTATTCGTTCTTTTCGGTTTTCTTTTTTTGCGCCATGGTGGTGGTAGCTTTGTCTGCATTACTCTGTTCTTTATTGGTCCCCCCTAGCGAAGCCTTATCCGAAGCTTTCCCCTTTCATTTATTTCTGGCAGCGGAGGCCTGTGATGCCGCACATTTTGTAGCACGGGCGCACTAGGAGCGAAGCGTACCGACTCATACGGCAGCAGTTGCTGCTGCTGCGCCGAGACTTTGAATCCTTTGTCAGAGTTAAGATAATCGTTTGCAGAAGGATTAGGGAAAGTACTAACAGCAGCAGAATACGCAGCAAGGCAAGTTGCGGAAGCGTTGGCTGTAGGTCTCTCCATAAACGAAGGCGCTGCTTCTTTTCTTACGATCATCATCTTTTTTGTTCCGGACCCCATTTTCCCTAATATGCTTTTAGTCCGTTTATGCTTAGCTATCTTCGTGCAAGTTTGAGTCCAATATCCGTTACTACTAGTGAGTGTATATCCGAAAGTGGCAGTAGCAATCGCAACTTGAAGACAACACAGTCACAATTAAAGGTAAGGAGCAGCCGCCACTTTCCTCAATTGCGCGGAGGTTTAGCGGATCTGTGCTGGCGTAATTCCAGCTATGGGGTATACTACGCCAAGGCTACTAAGGAGGTTTAGCTCCTTTTGCTTTTGTATTTAATTTTGAAGTAGAATTTGCATGCAGATTCAAGCTTTGAAGAAATAGGATTTGTTTCACGTTCCTAACAAAGTATTTTGAATTGTCTTACAAAAGCAGCGGCTGCATCCATGCGGACTACACATCTTTTTTTGGGGGCCTGCCCGGTACTTCGCAGTATGATTCACCAGCAGTGGCTGAATGGCTGAATTGTGCTACGGTCATGTACACAGAAGTGCGTCGACTACTCCGGAAGTTTTTGTGAGCACGAATGTTCGATGCGCACTAGCTTGGGTGTCATACCCACGTGTGGCAGTAGCTAGAAGCCCTAAAAGGCCAGCAGCCGCAATCTTTGAGGGAAACCCTTTAGAAATAAACTGGGGTGTGCTTTGGGCGACTGACGTGAACCCACCTTCAGTGAAGGTTTTTTGCTTTGGAGAGATTGCTTTTTGCCACTGCTTGACGCAAAGTGTAGGGAGAGCCATATTTATGTGTGAATGCAGTCTACCACTTACGCAATACATGAGTAGAAAAGCGATGGTAGGAAAAGAAGACTATATGAAACATTGATCGTACTAAAGGCGGGCAAGTAATTTTAAGGACGGAAAACTCTACTCGAGGGCTTGAAATAAAAGTTCCAACTTTTGAAGTGCCACTACTGATTTTAGTCCGCTGTGCAGAAACGCACTAGGAAAAGCAAACCATAGCATTAGGCGCATGCAGAACATCCCTGGGAGGCACAAGGAAATGCCTTAATTAGGTTATACAATTGCTTTGCTGACGAAAACGACCAAATCTACATCAAGAATCATCGCAGCACACACTCAAGGGTTTACTATGTAACTTTGATGGCTTGTCTCTTCATAATGATAGAAAAATACTCCAAGGGACTAAAGGTAGGGGCAGAACCAAACTTTTTGATGGCTGAAAAAAGGTGTACTGGCGGCTCTCAAACTGTAGCAGCTACTGCAGTTGCTGAGCCACGCCAAGGGCTTGCTACACAAATCCCAACCTACTTGAAGGTAAAGATGCGTACATTCAAAAACTAAGAACGTGTAGTTCATGATAGAAGGGTTAAGAATATGCCATTCTTTGGGTTTTATCACAGAGGGCCGGCTATCTGCGCCGCCCGGCCTTCTGGACCGATACATGATTGTGGAGCAGGTGCGCCACCGGCACCCCCGGTAGAAGCTGCAGCGAGAACACCTGCTGCAGAAGAAGCACAAAAAAAGGCAGCCGTAGCAGAATGGGTGCCGCTGTTTTTACTACGCAGCAGCAAACCGCCGCCGACTCCGGACGGCAGTAAAGCAATGGCAGCTGCACGTCAATCTTCCCAAGCAGCAGCTTATAAGGCAGCAGCAGCAGCAGTGGAGGCTAATACAACAGCAGACATGGAAAATGCGAATGGTAGCACATCCGCTGCAAAAGCAGCAGCAAGGGCTGTAGGCCTAAAACCAGTACCACCAGCTGAACTAGTGGGGAAGTACATTGCGCTTTTCTTCGGGGCGTCCTGGTGCCCTCATTGTCGGGACTTTTCTGCACGGCTTCACCAGGTTTACAGCCAGCTAAAACAGCTGCAGGGGGAGCAGCAGCCGCCTCCGTTCGAGACAATCTACATCCCCTGCGACCGTTCCCCAGCTGAATTCGCCGCATTCGCATGTACAATGCCCTGGTAGGGTTCATTGTCGTAAGTTTAGGATTTGCTGCAGTGATCTAATGTCAGGACTGATTGCACATGACTTAGTATGTAGCGTTTGGAGTTTCTATGCAGGCTGTCACTTCCCTTCGGAGACTATTGTGCGCTAGTGCGGCGCTTTGGAATTCGCCGTTTGCCCTCCATCATTCTGATTACACCGGATGACCACATCCTTACCTGTAGGCTCTAGACTTACAAACTCTCAAGATGTAGAGTATAGCGGTACCGCAGTTGTATCTCGTAGAGTCCGCATTCCATTGCTGACGCACCGCAGACATCTCGCCGTTGCCCCTCAGAGGAAACCAGTTGCCTGAGAACGGGCTGCAAGCTTAGACTTGAAACGATACGCTGTGAAGTCCAACTCTCCGGCTCTGTTGCGCAGCGGACGCCGTGCCGATCTTCGACGACCGCGATGCCGCCCAAAAGTTGCACAGTATCTTTCAACGGTATGGAAACCGCAGCTGTAGACTCTCGAGCGTAGTAAACGAGTTCTTATTGACAACTGCCATACTCTTAAGCCGCAGCGAGACTCTATGTTTGCGCGCAGTTTCGGCCCCTTTGAAAGCAGCAAGGATAGATACCAGTTTCTTTTCGGGGACAACAGCGAGCCAAAATCCTGATTTTCAATCCAATTCTTCTGGTTCGTAGACTCACCAGGTGCCGTATTTCCGCGCATGCGTTACATTTCATTCAGGTTGTAGTGTCTACGTATCCATGATGAATTGCTAAAGGAAAATGTGGATTTGTTTTCTTGTACCCATTCCCCCGCCGATGCCCGCACCCAGCTCCGTGTCTTTCCTCCACGTTGCTATTTACAATCCCGACTGTAAATTAGCTTGACTGCTGCCGGTCCATGCTCCACAGGTGCGCCTAGCCCCACAGGCACAACCCACTCCCCACTGAGGCTGTGCCTGAATGTGTGAGCTTCAGATGACAAGCTTGTCTGGCCCAGGGTACTCTTTCCGGCAAGGCTCACGACAGCGCTACATACATTAAGTACGTTTTAGGAGAGCAAAACTTGAACAGGTGTTGAAGTTGTGCCTACTCAGTCCCTTGTCGTGATGGTTACCGTGGGGAGCTCCTGCGTGCGTTTCACTAGCTCTGTACATACACTCCATACTATGGCTACACAATTTTTTCAAGGTGTCGCCCCAGTCATGAGCCGCGCGTAAGCATATGGCCAATGAGTGCGGGCCCGGCGTTTGTCGGACGCCACACTTGGCGACTCGCCGTCGCCCGTTGCAGCGTCGATGTGTTTACGCTAACTCAAATAATGTCTCAACAAAAGGCTTACAACGCCTACGGCCATTCTAATAGCCGGCAGTTACGCCTTTACGGGAGTGACAGATGGTCCTTCACTGTGGTTTTTCCAGGGTCATCCATGGACTTCGGTTCTGATGTTGGAATCTTGTGTGCCGAGACATAAAACCCACGCGGATTCTGCATAAGATGTTCATGGGGACCCCCTTGGGTATCCATGAGCGTCGTGGGTCGTGTAGGACATTGAGTGTTTTAGCTCAGTACGGAGGGATTCCTTTATTCACGTGGGGGTCTGTTCTGCCCGCTGGTGCTTGCACGAGTCGGAACGGCTTTTGCAGAAGGCGGAGACAGTAAGTACTTCAGTCGTGTGAGGAGTCACGTCGAATGCCTTAAAGTAGGCAAGCTCGTACCTGCGTAGACATAGTCCTCACTAGGAATGAGATGCTGTGATGGACTCACTGACGCCGTGGCGCGCCCCTGGAACTATTTTGCTACTCCTAGAAGCCCAAGAGAGATTTTGTGAGCTGTACTCTTGCTCGAGATGCAGTGTGCAACAGCAAAAGTAGGAAGAGCCCATACCCGACGGCCGCAAGTGCCTTTGCGTCTCGAAGAAATGCTTGCTGCTCATGGGCAATGTAGACAATACGCCGGATAGCTGCTGCGGTGACCAAGCGCCGAATCTCCTGCACCAGAACAAGGCAAGTAGAGCTCTGCAGGCAGTCTCAGTAGGGCAAACCGCACGTGTTCCAGAAGTATAGGCGCAGTAGAACTGAACCCCCAAAGCAATGTGCTTGCCTTGTTTAGCCCCCTACGCGACGGAGAGAGCAGTAAAACGTCGGGGAGCTCCGACGCTGCAGTCTTGATGGCTTCTGAATCCAGCGAAATGAACTCAACGGAGATACAGCTGCCAAGACGTGAGGATACGTCGTAGGCGCACGCAAGAACATGCAAGAATCATCTGCCACGGCGCGGCGAAGTGCTGCTCACCAGATGTTACTATTCCTTCTAGCTTTGACGCTGCATTTAGTGACTCTCGTGCAGCTGAGTCTGCTGGTGTCAGTGGCGTTGCTGTGGTAGTTGCAGCCGATTCGGCTCGTTGTCGGCAGCCCCCAGCACTGTCCTTCGCCGTCACACCTCGCTGCAACGCGCTTCCCTCAACTCGGTGGAAGCCTATCTCGGTGTCCCGTGCCACAGCATGCTTTGAACATATGGGAACATAAGCAGCACAAAAGCGTGGCAGAGCTACAGCATACATGGCCGCATTAAAGGCCACGTCCATTTCTCGGCTTGACAGAAACCACATAACCGAACATTCACGTCTGAACATGGATGTGTCCGTAAACTGCGTGGCTACGCATTCTCTGGAAGTAGAACGAAGCAGCAGCCATTCACATTGGTTACATCATTCGAAACACGCCGTTTCCGAGCGGTCGCTCCTTTAGGTCTTTCAAGGCAACATTTCGTCTTTGGGCCTGACCTGCACCAGCTGCGCTCGGTTTTGTTCCCGAAGAGGGTGATACAGCCCAGCTCTGGCAGCCAGGGCCGTCGCAACGTCTCTGCAAGCAGCATTAAGTGAAGTGCGCCAGCTGGATTGGGAACACGCAACGGGGACTGCAATCATTGGGATGCTTAAAAATCGCAACTGCCCCAGCAACCCCTCAGAACCCACTGGCTGTTTGTACACTCCACCACTTCGGCCGAGGATATGCCGTTGAGGCCAAAGTTCTTGCGGGTCTCATCCGCGTCGCGGATGCCAGGGGCAAACACCACCACCTGCAGTGCAGCCGCATTCTTACACCTGCTGCGATATCCTGAACAACGAGCAATTTGACCTCCTGTGGACGGCGGCGTGATCTGTTGCAGCGATGCCTTGCTATGGGTACTGATCAAGCAACTGGGAGGGGTGTCGCACTAGAAAAAAGACAACCCTTTTGGGGCTGACTGCATGGCCTCTATCTACGTCTGCTGCCTGGCTGCCTTCCTGGTTTTGTGCCCATAGCTGCTGATGTGTTGCTCTCGTTGCCTGAACATTTGTTTCTTTAATTAGCGTAGACTTCGTAGTCTATTCTGGTGCTCTTGCGTGCGCAAATAAGCCCTGAACAGCTGGCCTGAGCTTCACGCCTTGCAATTCATGCACCATGGCTAGCTTCTGCAATTCCCCATGTTCTATCTCTGTTTCACTTACCGTTCGAATACTTGCCCGTCACACGAAGGCCACATTAGGCTCACCTTCTCAAACGAGGAGGACAACAAGACTTCCAAAAGACCCCCAGACCCTAAAGCCCCCCACAGACACCCTGCTGCCCCTCCCGTGGCCTCCTTCAACGCATGAAAAACTTGCTCCATCACTTCTCCCCGACTTGCAAAAGCCTCGCGTGTTCCGCCTCGTCACACAAAACAGAAACAGAAAAAATAAGGACAAATAAAATGAAGACAGAAGAGCACGATATCAAACAAATGAGGTTGCAGAGGGGCACACGCGCGTAACGGAGTACAAGCAACAGACGGATATACGTGGGGATATGACGCATAGACAGGAGCATACAATAGGACGAAAGAAGGGACAAACATCAGCAAGAGTGAAGACTGTCTGCGACAGCCTTTATTTTTGCTGGCTCAAAGGCTAAAAATGGCCCGAAACAAACAAAAAACGCACGGCGTATCACAGTAAGAGAACCTTCCATGGTAGCAGGACACTGTAAATCTGCAGTGGGTCGAGCCCTAAAACCAAGTGCTTGAGCTAAAACTATTCGTGGCACAAGCCTAAAACGTAGGACCCTAACCCTTCCAACATGTGAACGCAAAAAGCAAACTCAGCTTGCCGTGGAGTTCAAGGCAGCGTTCCTCACCTGTTATTCGATATCGCCACCCAAATACCGACACCAGTAGCGCATCCGTGCCAGCCAAAACTTCATCTGGAGCTTGCAGCCTATAGCAGCAGACCATTACAAACAGAAAGAGGTTGCAGAATAATAGGCAGCAATACGTACAGCACCAAGGAGGGCCAAAGCATATACAGCAGCACCAAAAATAGCAGCGACGAGAGCAGCCGCAGCAAAACAGGGAAAACTGTGGCATTAATTATGGCAGCATTAGCGAGGCCATGAACACCAGCAAAGGAACAACAATTGCAGAAGCACCTGCAGCAATAGCCCTTGACTCACCTGCGTACATCACAGAAAGTAACAGCCTTAAGAGAGGGACAATACGTCCTCAGCTGTTGCGCAAAATGAACGAGTTGGGGTCGCGCACTGTCTTCGATGTGACCTTTCAGCCGCAGCAACACCGCACCGTCGGGCGCTGTGCTATCCTCTGCACACAAAACATAAGGGAGTTGCCCTTCGGAAAAGTGTCCAAAAACGCGATGAAACGCCACACTCTCCAATTCAGAATTAAGTTTTCAGTCCTTTGTTGTGTGTCGTGCAAAACATGAGGCCAGAAGGCAATCTCTCAAGCACAACACAAACAACGCCTCTGTTACACACCGAGCTCTTACCTGCAACAGCACCATTACCAGCAGCAACAAATCAGTTTGTTTGTCAGTGCATGAATTCTCTTACCCGCAAGTCTGAGAGTGAGACCGCTTAGCGTTCCTGCGCCACAACGAGGGTTCAGCACTCGCAGTCGTTGATCTTCCATGAGAGGCAGAAGGCTTTTTCTTAGCTGCCTGTACACCTCACTCACTGCGGAGACCATAGCCCACAACAAGAGCGAGAACAATGGCTGTCTAAGCACAGGGTTGCATAAATAACAAAAGCACTAGTAGACTGGCCAACACTAACGAGAACATCCGCGGGAAGCTTTGGCACAAGCAGCAACAGTGGCAGCACAGGTGCCAAGAAGGCCTACTAGGGCGTCGCATTCGTAGGCATTCCCGGATGTCGACAATGCTGACGCTCCCATCGAAGGCCGGGAGGCCTAACCGCGGTTTTCCGTCGACTAAGTGCAGCAGGAAGTCTACCCTCGAAGCGAACCTTATGCATGAAGCAAAAGCAGTAACAATACACATACCTAAAGCCTTAAGCGAGACAGTGTGTGTCTTTGTGGTGTAGCTTTTGCTGCTACAAAGACACAGCAGCTCGCGCATTCGGTGTGCGATCCATACTCTATCTCAGAAGAAGACGGCACAAGCGGCACGACTTCAGGACATGTCCACTGTGGGTGTTGCTCCCGTTGGCGCCGTAGGTGCTGCTCCTGGTGCAGTTCATGAAGCATCTGCTGCAGCAACTGCTGCTTTGCTTTCCGTTGATGAAGAAGGTCCAAGTGGATGAAATGGCAGCCACCGCAGCCTTCAAGAAAGTGCGGGCAAGGGGACGCTCGCTGTCCTGGAGCTGCAAGCACACAATAGCCACGCATTCTACAGCGTGAGCTTCAAACCCTAAATACCACGTACTAAGCCTCGAGAATCTGTGAGTATCAGCACGAACCTACGTTGTAACGGCAAAAGCCCGCATTTTGGGCAAGGATAGGCTCGAGTTGAAAGTGTACTTTCACTGAAAATTTCTTGGAAATTCCTCCGGAAAATATGCCACGGAAGCCACAAGGTAGCAAGCGTCAGCATCAACAGAAGACGGACAATTGTCCTTATCAGCAGACGAACTAAGCGAAGTTAAGATCAAGATCGAGAATTGCCGCATGTGCAAGAGCACCAGCACCAGCAGAGAGAGAGCAGTAGCAGCAATGTCAAAAATACTTTGCGCGATACCATTATGCACACTAGCAGCGCCAATGCCATCAGTGAGGATTCTTCTTACCAGTCGAATCCGTGCCTAAGAAGGCCATTTTGCACTTGCCTTTGCGCGGCTTAAGCTCCTCGAGGCGCACGGTGATTTTAGCTCCAGGAAGAAGACGCCTAAATTGGGCGCTCACCTCCCAGGACCACCGTTGCAGCAACAGCCGAAGCCGGCTCTGCCCCGTCCAGGTCAAAGGGCCGACCTGTGCAGACTTCAGCAGCAAACGTGCAACTTTGTAGCACGCGATGTAGTGCCATCACACCACAGACTGACTGAAAAAAAGGGCAAGAAATACGGATAAACACGTACACGTGGAACCGAGATACCACAGACTGGGGGAGAAATTCGTCAAACGCAAGCAATGCACACGAAAAAACCGAAATGCAGCCAACGGAAAACGGTGAGGGTGAACCTGTGAATGACACACGGCAACATGTCATGGTTCTTGATTACAACAGACCACGAAGTCCACCGAGGCAAGAAGCTCACGCAAGTGCTTGAAGCCTCCAACAGAAGAGTAGACAAGTGAGCGTCTGTATGCCATACTATTTCAAAGTTAAACCCTATGTTCTACACTTTGGCGCTGTACCTTCAGGCCCCGTAAGATGTCGCCCTCCTCAGCCGTGTTCGCAATGTTTAGCGGCCCAAGAGCAAAACTGTTGCTGCAACTGCTGCCTCCGCTCTTGTTCCTTTTGGTCTTGTTGCTGGTGGTGCTCGTAACGTTGCCGTCGCTACTACTGCCTTCACTGCTGGAGAGGTCGGCGCTGCTGTTTGCGCTGCTGTTGGGGCTATCTCCGAACGCACTACCACGTGTATCTGTAGGACACGCTGCTGCTCTCGTTGAAGCCATAGATGCAAATGACATCACAGCGAAAGCTGCAGCAGTTCGCCAAAGACTGTCAATGCTCGTCGCAGGCAGCCTCAAGGAATGTGTACGTGGCTGGTTTCTCGGCGATGCACTTATCTGTCTTGTGTTTCTCGAAGACAAAGTTGTTAAGCAATGCCTTCCGCTACAGTATTCATGAAAGCTTCCAAATATTCCACGCGTGGATACGCGCACCTTAGGAGGCCTTCGGCAAATCTCCGGGGCTTCCGTAGGGCCCTTAAGGGGCTCTGTATACAGCGTTGAGGGCACCCAACAGAGCTCAGGTTTCTTTTTGCAACCCTCACGAGCTACCACAAGGGCCGCTCCATAGACGCCGATGATCCGTCTATGCATCCCCAGGGTCGTCGTGGGTTTCCTCAAGGCCCCCATGGTTCTTGGCTTAATGGCCGCTACTAGCCTTTTAGGCAGAAAAAACACCCCATTCGTTGCATGCAACTGCAGGAGCATCGGCCTGCAGGGCCCCAGAAAGTTGTTGCATGCAGAACGAAGACTGAATTACTCTTTCCATGCACAGTCAGGCACACAAAATTTCCTGCATATGTCGCTTCTGGACGATGCTGTAGCAGCGCAGCCACCTGCGTCCCCAGTATGCAGGGCAAACACCCGATGTTAGCACCAGCGAGTACTGTAAAAATTCTACAGTCTGCCTGTATTACCGCTGGTACAGCTACCTGCGCTCAGCAACAGCAGCAACTCTGCGAGAGGCCACCGCAACAAGCCCTTTGACCGAGAGGTAGCGAACGAGCAGTCCTTCCTCGCAAGCATCTAAGTTACATCTGACATTTCGGAAGGCCCGGGTCTTCTTTCATAGTCCTGGTCAGAAGCGGCAGTAGCAACATCAAGCGGCGTCTATTCTTGTAAATGAAAGAAGCCCAAGTAAGCCACGCCAAGTTGAGTTGCATAGTCGGTAACAGCGCCTACAACCGTTCGTGGCCATGAACCGTTCCGTCCAATGGCGTCGCGTTTATAGCAGATTAATTGAAGCATCGGCATACAGCTGGACGAAAAGGCTCCTTGTTGATCATGTGTGTGAAGCTGTAACTAGACATAGCCAATTGCAGTGTACTTCCTTGCTTGGAGCTGCAACAAGCCCTTTCCCCAATGCATGCGCCAAGACTTACCCAGTGAGACTCACCCAGCGAGTCCTGCAGACCACGGATAAATGCAAAATAAAAAGCGGAAGGCTGTGTACATTCACAGGGCTACACAGTTTCGCATAGTATCCCGGTTGTTGGTGTTACCGGGCAAATATGGACCTGACGGTACCTCCAAGGAGAGATTACAGCTGGCGCCCGTTCGGTCTTCTGTGCATCGCGGCACCGGCATGCCGAATCGAAAAGCCTCAGTTACTTCATCCGTTTCATGCTTGTGACCAAGCACCGACGCAATTCTGCATTTGCACTGGTTCGCGCCACATCTGAGGTGCACGGGCGCTCTAAGCATGCCAACAAATTGGAGCTAAACACAAAGCTCACGCCTCAATCGAGACGAAAAGCCTCATTAAATTTTTTTGGTGGGACAAGACTGGTGCTGTTGTATGGTAGAGCGTTCACTCATCTCGGGATCAGGCCGGTCAAGGCCAGGATCCAGCAGAGTTTCAGGGAGCTGTGGCCCATTAGCCCGAAAGCGCTAAACACAACTGAATGTAACACAGGCTGTACTTGGGAAAAAGTGATGGGGTTGCATAATATTAAATTATCGAATCTGGCCACTGGCAAGGCCGCTGCATTTGACTGAGCTCGACGTAAGCGCTCCTGGCGTAAGCATCCACGCTAGGCTACGCTACCGACTTTCGTAGACAATTAATGCGTCCAACTTGCTGCACAGTGTCTTGGGGTTAAATATCAATTTTTACACTATACCTACTGCAAGCCACCGCAGTTTCTGGATCCGGGCAAATTGTTACAGAAACTAGAAAACGAACCAAGTGGGGAGGGCCTTGCACATCCCTTTTTTCGAGCTCGAAGCAACACAAGGAGACTAGTGCAATGCTTTGAATTTTGTTTCTGAGTGGGTAGTAGGGGTTTATACTATTCGATATCCCTTGACAGCTGCGGTACAAGAATGGCACGCGATGTCCCTTCTCGTAACGCGGGCGCGTGTTTTAGCACAGGAGAAGCGAGTTACCACCGCTTAAAACTGAAAAGGATCGATTTTCGTAGAGCCACGCGGAACAGAGCGTGGCTGCGGCAGCGTCATGCTTGCATCTGGCTAGAAAATAACACCTCTGAGCTGAGCTATGCAGTGGTCCAATCAGCGAACGAACAAACCACGCTGCTTTTGCAAACGGCATTGAGACCCCGATAGGGCCATTATACGCCAGTCGTAGGCACTCGACATAGGACGGGTGCAATCATATCTTTGCGGGATATGCATGTTGATATGGCCAAATGGACAGACTTGCTGGGCTCAGACGACGGTTGCGCCTACTGAGTTTTCTGTAGAATGGTCAAGGTATTCATCTCTGCAAAGTGCTGCACGGACCACTTGTCTAGAAAGAGCGACGAGTTGCATTTGGGGACTCCAGATTCCGCGGCATACAAATTCTGGAGTCCAAAGGAGCCCAACAAAGCCCACACAGCACGGGCAGATGCACGTCGCCTATTCACGTCGAACCGTTTTAGGGGATCCGAACACGACGCATCTTAGCCCTTGGAGATCCCCACGAGGAAGTTGACGTTGACATCGATGACTCTCGGGGAAGCTGTCCGTGAAGAATTTACGTGACTGCCTGAGGTGCACCACAGGCACTATGGCGAGGATACTCGGGAGTCACAGCAAGAGCCGCCCTCGAGGCAAGAGTATTTGCCGTCGGCTTCCTGAGGAACGTGTGTTCCTTAACGCTCGAGTCGTTAAAGTCCCGCTGGCCCTTGAAAATTACGAGGACAAATCCGCTTCTACAATGTAAGTCAAGTGATTCGTGAGAGGCAGTCAGTAAGAAGTCTACTGGGGTCGCGAAGCTGGTTGCAGGTCTTCAAAATACCTTTTAGGATAATCTGCCCACTAGAATAAACCATTATACTGGAGATCAATTATGTTATACACCTTTTACCAAAACAGATGCGAAATATCGAATTTTCCTTTTTTTGGAATGACGTAATTGGTCGAAAGTAGAGTAACATGGAAAGTTCGGAAGCAGGAATTTTGTAGACGAACGGCTTCATCTTAAGCGTGTGAGAAAAGTGGGTAACTCATTGAACAAATGACGTGCAAGATGCAACATATGGAGGACGAAAGGTCATAGTTCGAATATGTGAACAGCCACATTCGAAAGATGTCAAACGCAAGATGTGTCACCTGAGAGGGGTGATACCTAAATTTTACTAGCTAAAAGGTGAAAGATAAAATGCAGCACTTGAGGGAGACAAGAAAATTGCAGAAGAAAGGGGGTTAATACCAGTTACGCAGGTGTACATGTCAAGGGGAAAACAAGAGAGGCCAATAGACTTCGGGACAGCATTTCAAGGAGGCGAAGGTAGGAACGATCCAGTGACAGAAAAGATGGAAGACGTTAAGGGATGAGTATGAAGGGCAGCATCTCAATGAAGTTGAGCGTAGCATGCCAAAGTGGTAAAACGCCAAAAATGAAAAGTTAAAGTAAAGTTCATTTCCTTGCACCCCACTGTGGACTCTTGTAAAAAATTGAACGTGCACATTAGTTTTAGTAATCACTGATGTTCTTAAGGCGATAACGTTCGTAGGGACTTCCCCCTTTAATACTAGCTGTCCAAAGATTCGCAGCTGCCTTGAAAAAAGCAATATTTCAGAGTTTACATAAAGATGTCGTGCACTTTTGTGTAGGTCTACGTCCAAATTTCGATGGCTGGACACGAAAAAAGATTAGATGTAGAATGCTGCCTCTATTTAAGGCACACGTTTGTGTTTTTCAAATGAGTTTCAAACCGGCGTCCAGCCGCTCAAGCATTGCTCCTTCTCACGTTCAGAAAAAAATTGACGAGAAAATTAAGTTTCCCCTCTTGAACAGCTCAGTATAATGATAATGCAGTTGAGGGTAAATGTCTAGAGAAATTAGAGCTGTAGTCCAGTGCAGTTGTACAGGCTCTCCCGTTCGCCAATGCCTTTTTTATCACTCGCTGCCGACGTCACTGCACACAGACACCTTAGGGATTAGCATTCTGACCATTCAACCCATTGCAAGCGGCCTTACAATTGGAAACTAATTCTAGGATTGCATTTCGCGGGGAGGTAAAGGATAACGTTTGAGCTTTCGCTAAATTATCGCAACGTCCTGCGGATAAGGAGACAATGTTTCAGATATCCCACTGCAATCCATGACGCATTAGAGTTTCCAGCAAAAAATTCTCTAGCCAGACACCCTAAATAGCTGCAGATTCCAACATTTAAGCGCTTTCACATCTTAACTCGAAAGAAATGACAGCTTCAGCACTGCTGTCTTCCCAGTATGCAGGGGCGTTATCTGTTCAGTGTCTTGAACAAACGAATTTCTCCATCTTATGTCAAGTTTCAGCAGAAATAAGAATCACACAAATTTAAAAAATTATTTTAAATCAGACTATTAGGAATACTTGCCTGTGGAAGGCATGTAACGCCGAATCGACGTTGAGCGAAGCCGAAAAGGGCTGGGGACGAGGCCATCAATCCGCCCATTTCTGAAATTCGGCAAAGTTGAAACAATTACGGCAAATGCCAGCAAAAAAACACACTGTATTCTTCCTATTGGTGACCTTTCTCCCCTATACTTCCCGATAGGCCTCAAATAACTCGGCCGTTCTTGAATACGCAAGGAGATCCGTTGTACGGCCTCGCCAAGCGCAGTAGGGGTGGAATTGTGCCAAGTTTCACCCTTTTCGGCTCATTTTTGCCCATTAATTTATCGTAAAAATGGCCCTTCGCTGGATGGAACCTCTGATGGGTTTCTGGGTGGTAGGAGCCATTGGGAGTGATGGACCACTCCGGCTCTTTGATGCTGCTGGGCTGGAGTCAAGCCCGTTTCCTTCTGAAGCAATTGACTCGCCCGCTGAGTCAGTATTTGGACCACGTCTGAGTCCGGTCTCCTCTGGTGGGAATCTGGGGGAACTGCTACCGCGGAGACATGCAGCGATCGCACTTTTCACTGCGCTCGCTATGGCTTTCGCGTTGCTGAGATGCTTCAGAGCCATAACAACAAGAAAGCCCTCGAATGCAACGGAAAGAAAACTCTCCGACGAAGTATCATCACCCGAAAGCGAATGTGACGTCCGTAACGACCTTACATCACGCAATGCAGAGAACAAACGCACCAACTGTGTTGAACTTAAAAGACCGACAGGATTTCCACTCTAGGAAAAAGTGGCTCCATCATATGCAAGTGCAATTTTTCGGACTTTCAAGAGCTGACCAGCATTTGCCTTATGGCGACTCTACTGCCCTTGCTGGTTCGTGGTTTTCTCTTTATGTACGTTTACGTACACATAAAGTAAGTACACGCAGCGCTCACTAATGACAATTTTGTTCTGGTAGATGACTTGAAAGAAGTTTGCCAATGACCGTGTTTTTCGGATTCCAAGCAAAGCGCACTAGTTGTGTGTATCTTCAAGGGTGAGATCAATGGAGCGCGCAAGGCTGCTCCTTCCTTTCATCCAAAGCAAACTTTTGCTGGTACTTCGAAGCCTATGGCCCTTCTGAATTTGGTAGAGTTTCACCATCGTTCCCCTTTTCGCGCCTGCAGTTTCAATGTGTCAGCAACTTTACTTCTGCTGAAGCAACGGGCCTTCACGGAAGGAATATCCTCACGAAAGGCTATTTGCTGCAAGAAACCTTCTTCATCGAGTTCATTGCGTCTTCAGTCTCAGTAAATAGACTGAATGCCGTAAGGAACAGCTGCCAAGCAAGCGACGTACGGCGACATCGACTAAGTCTGGACCAAGCCGGCAACTATGCCTTTTTCTTGATTAATCAGTAATTTGGGACATCATCATACAGCACGCTTCTGATAGTGCCCTCACTGTGCTCAAGCCTGTGAAGCACGAAATGCAAAGCGCCGTAACCCGATGGTTTTTGTGGCACAACGAAACTGAGTCAGAAATGCGACAATGAGAGGGTTCAAAGGCAAAAGCTTCTTGGTAGGAGGTGACTGGTGCTGAAACTTCACGTTACACAGACGGTACGTTGGGGACACGATGATCAGTGCATTTCATGATCTACGAGCAGAGATTTGTGTGGAGCTACGATCTGCACTGGACATCAATTGCGGCAATGAATGAGACACTGCCTTGCACCTGAAATACGCACTGTACACACCACAGTGCCATAATCCCGACCAAGCAGTTCTAGCACTGCGAACATGCGTCCTGTTCTAAAATTTATTTAGCCAATGGAAAAATGAAAAAGATGGAAAAATTTCACTTTACGTGCTGCGCGGATGCTGCATAATAGCCATTGTGGAATTCATGCTGGCTCTTTCATTAAATAAGTAGCTTGAGAACTTCAGCTGCTCGTCTGTGAACTGATATCGTGAGCAAAAATTATGGACCTATACGGAGAAATCATTATTGAGTCATGCGTTAGTTGCCCGCTAGGGCCCACTTTTAGTGTGAGTGGTTTAATCCATGTGCGCCAAAGTGCCACTGGCTCCGAATTAGAGCAGAGAGCTATCTATCGGTGACTGCGCTTCTCAAAGAACGGGAGAGACGGGGACCATTTTGCTTTTACATCGAAAGAGCATTTTAACGAGGCGCCTGTGCTGCTTCCACTTACGGGAAATGACTGTTTGCTTTTTCCTCTTTTCAGCTTTTCTCACCTATCAAATCCGCTCCGCCAGTGAGGCCAGCGCACTTCGGTGCATGAAAATTTACAATTAGTGCGTTTGAAAACTTCTTGCCATGATAAGGCCAGGATGCTGTTTTGAGGAGCGACCGAGCCGTAATCTGCACGTGTGCAGGCGATGAACAGATTTTGTGGCAACCTGCGATGAAGGTTGCATGCTTGCCGCCTTTTGACGAGTTGCAGCACTTATCGATATTCATGCAGCAACTCTCGCTCAGAGCATTTCTGCTTTACTTTAGACTGCGGCGCTGAGTGTAGACAAGCCCCAATGGATTGAATGTCGCATGGGATAGGCACGTCTTCTCAGTCTTCATGAAAGTGACAATTGAACCACATGAAAAGGAAATGCTTCCCAGCCATCATTATGGGGATTTGTGTATGAAATATATGTCCACTGAGTGGTTACAGACGATCGGTGAATGCAATTAGTGGTGAGTGTTCAGGTACATGCGCCCTAGCAGTTGAAATGCCTGCTGCTTCACACTTAGTGTGTCGCTTCCCCAACCTTGCAGTAGTGTCATATTGCTCAATTGCGAAACACCTGGCCAAGCCATTATTGACATCTTCATTTTGGTATTATGACGCTTTAGAGAGTGAGCCGCAGGATACGAATGACACGGCTTCAGACCGCATTCTGCACTCCAGATTAGGTGCAACTGCGGTGCAATTTGCAGTATGCATGCGATGCAGAAGGCTGTTTGTTGCTGATTGTGGCCAGGTAACAAGCTTTAATTTACTAGGGTGGACTTGTGAATGGATGGCAAAGCGAAGTGATAGAATAAGCCAACATTGCTCCTACGAAGAGTTACCGCACCAGATGAACTTCACTCGAATTGCCGCATAACTCCTTTCCAGTGCATGGAGAGGATTCTGTTCTGGGGCCCACTCCTCTCGGCGAAACCATTCGGGTTTCTCGTCATGTTTCAGAAAATTTTCTGACTGATTTACCTGCCTGAAGCTCGTTTAAAACGATTTTTAGTGTAACTTTTTCGAAGTCCTGGGTGCAGTACTAGCCAACATTTGATAAACGTATTGCTCAAACCTGTGCACACACATCTAGTCAACGTTACGTTTGGAAAGGACCAACTAAGATGCAGCAGTGTGATGCGACACAACTTCGATGACTGTAACGCCTAGCGTGGTCTGCAAGTGTCAGAGCCGCAGGCTTGTCGGTGAGCACATCAACCGCTACACAAATATTTTTCCGTACTGGGCACAAACCTACAGCCCGCACTTATTTACTTAAAGCATTGACCAACGTAACCTTTTCTTTCGCGGCCCTACTGACGTCTTCTAAAATCTGCGGCCTTCCATCGTGTAAACGCAGTTTTTGCTTTGGCTGCACGGTTTTCAGTGGCGGCGGGAATTCAGTGCTATTCACGTGGGATGGCGACCGTATATGGGTGTAAACAGCGCAAACGTACAGCGTGGAGTGCCATCTGGGTTACAGTGTGTTTCGTGAAAATCATCTGAGGCGCCGTAATGGGAGTCTACTGATGAAAGTATAGACACTAACGTCCTGCATATTATTACATTGTCCAGAGCCTAAAGAGTGCACACTGCATGCTACTTACTTCTGTAATTCGTGCGTGTAGCCTACGCACTCTGTACGAATTTCGGATAGTAAAGCCGCAGAGTGTCAGATTGAGTTTTGAGATGGGATTCCCAACAAATTTTGGGGATGATACATCTATCAGCGTTTCATGATGTTTTAAGCTGTTCTGTCAATGCTTGTCCTATGCGTGGTGCAATGATAGGCCCGATAATGTGAATAGTTCGACGTGTTGAATGCTTAAGGCGGTGAGTGGGGGGCAGGTTCATATGAGTTGGCTGGCATAAGCTGTAGCCAAGCAGGGCTTGACACTGCAGGCATGCACAAGAAATCGCGAAAGCTGCTCCACACCTTTTGCTAGAGCAGTGCCTGTAAAATCTTGAACAAACTGTTTTCATGTCTAAATGGAGAGCAGCTCCATCACACCATCATAGATGATTTGTATGCTATGATGCGCCTCTCCTTATTTCGCACTTGCCTTCCTGTTCAGCAGTTGATCCATATGCGTCACGCCTGCTAGGGCTGAGTGGCGAAGTATTTGAGTCCTGTCCATCAACCAAATACCAGCTAGTGAGTTGTTTCGTTATGATACCTCTCAGCGCGTGCCGTGCCATATAGCGGCTTGCTTGCTGCGATTTTTCGGCTTCGTTGCATACGTAGACACTTCAGCCTTCTTGTTTAGCTTCATTTCTCATACGCGGGGTCCCTACAAAATTACTGGATGTTGATAATCTATTATAAACTTGTTGACTGCATCGCTGAACTCGTCATACAGTGCATTCGACGCACCGTTTAGATTTGTGATTATCTTCGGAGGCGTCAATTTCAATGCGAGTCAAACATAGTAGGCGTAGAACACTTTCGAAGCGTCGAAATTCTTTTTCATTGCGAAAGGCTGTGGTATGCCCGTCAAGCATACTTGCAGCACTCACCAGGTAATTGAGGCCGCTGCAGATACCTTGAGCTACCAAACCACTTGACTTTTCCCTGCATGTTCGACTTGTCAGTTTTATTGGGGCGAAGATCTATGTGTCTGTCTGCAGCGTTGCATGCAGTTTGAATGTCTCCAACAAATATCACAGAATCGAAGGTTGCCCCTAACATCGCACCAATCCTTTCTGTACATTGTTAGCTTGTGTGAAGAAAACGTCTGTGGAGAGCTTTCCAACCTTTTTTAGTCTCCATCTACGCTTTGCACATTCACAAATGCAAATAAAAACAGCGCATTAGCTTTAAGCGACCAAAGTCAAGCGAACAAAGTGCACAATAACCTGTTGCTCGGGCTTCCCAGGGTAAACTGGTGAATACATGTTAGGGAAATGTCGTAACGAAATGCTTTTGAGCCTGTGGTTCCCAAGAGTGAAATTTTTCGGCAGTTCGAGAGGGTCCTCAAAGCGCCACGGAACCACCGCTTTTGTAAAAATGAAGCACTTGATAAGGTATCGTTACGAGTGTGAGCATAGGCACCGTAGTGTTTTAAGGCGCTGTTAAATGAAGATGAAAGA